ATTGTTGGACAGTATATGAAATGTGGTTCAACTATAGATCTGTTGACCGAGTCTTATACCTCCTTCCTAAGTAGTTACATGATCTTTTCATGAGACCAATTTTTTACCAATTTTTGCTACTGTGTAGTCAATATGTTCCTCAAATTTTAACTTTTCATCGATATATGTATATATATACCTAGATATTTAATGATTCTCATTTTCTCAATTACTTCATCTTTAATTTTTAAACTGTAATTATCGGAGCTAACGTTAGCTGTTCTAGATATGACCATAAGCTTTGTCTTGTTCACATTTAATTGCAGTCTGTTTACGCACAACCATTTATACAAATAATGAAGGTCTAACGTTCTAAAGAATAAGTAAACAAAAAAGTTTATTCCAAACATTCAGAATGAATAAAGAAATGCAGCCTTTGATTCATGGAATTACGAGACAAACAGTACGTTCACGACTGTTGTAATCCGAAATATGCATTTTTGCATGAGGACTTGCTCTTTCACGACTCACAATTCGAGCCCAGGCATGATCCGATCCGTGTGTAGGGCCTCCTACACAACAATTTGACAACTAATACATATTCTCAATTGTCTTGTCGCAAACTGTCTAATGTAAACGCAGCGTTAACGGATTCTTAGGTATTTTAACTTTAATTTTTCTTCTTCTTGCTATCCACTAATGTGGCATTAAAAGAGCCATCTGGTAACATCATGCTGTCATAAATTGAAACACTGTAGAATGAAACTCCTCTGATGTAAACAAATTTATCAGTTGTCAAAAGTAGAGATGTCGGTGGCAAACATGAACGAAAGACACAAGATCACGTAAGAACAAGAGAGTGAAAAAAGTCGATTTTCTTAGCGGGTTCTACGCCATCTTGTTTCACTGGAAAACGAGCGAAAAGTAAACAAAGCAAAGAAAACAACGAAAACCAAAATTAGCCAAAATTATTGTCAGCCACTTTAAACGCACAATTTAGGTAAAATGATGCAACAAAATGCTTTAAAATGTGTTGTCATGTTGAATTAACTCTTCTTTACTTGAATAAAAGTGTAAAATAGTGGTGCTTGTTATGTAAACAAACGCTCAGCTGACGAACCCGCTTTCGCAAACTTTTTTCTCAAAACCAGTTACAAATACAACGTCGCGTTCTTACGTGATCTTGTATTTTTGGTTCATGGGTGGCAAATATGCTTTTCGTTGATTCGATGCATCGAAACGTACATCGATATTTTTCGATGCAGCAGTACGTATCGGTGCATCGATTTGCATAGGATTTTTCAGTGAATGTTTCACAACAAAATAAGTTATTAGCATAATTGTACAAAATTTTAAATAAATTACTGCAGCTGAGCGTATTATGTTTCTAACTGCAGCCATTTCAATTATTTGGTCAAAGTAATTTTTTTTTGTACAATTTAAAATGTAATGACGGTTCAATATACTAGAGATTTCAGTTTTCAAAAAACATCGATGCATCGATATTATACATCGAGTGTAAAATTGTCGATGCATCGAAGCAAAACATCGATATTTTCATTGCATCGATGTTTTTCCGGCACTCCTAGTCAAAAGTGCGCGCCAATTTTACTAGAGAAGACTCGCGAAAGTTATAAATTTTAATATATTGCATAAAATAATAAAATAAGCATTTCCTGCAATGGATTTTCGCCGCAAAACGCGACCACGTCTAGACCGTAAGCCTCAGTTTGAGAATCTCGAAGCACAATACCCGCACAATGTTGCACTATACCGTTTTCCGCCAACGGAAGACATCAAAATACATGACTTCGAGGATCTGGCGCTGGAACGCCTCAAAGTTCTACGCATTCTTGAACAGGCGACTTCTAAAAATCTACGTTTTCTATCAGATGAATGGAAGGAATCGGTGAACGCAGAGCTTAACCGCGAAGGTCTTAAGGGATACTTGCGTCTTTGTACAAACAGTAGCGCTAATTCGACAGCGAATAGCACAAAGTATGAGTTGGAATTACAGGCAAGGCGACGAGATTACATTTCACATTTTATACTACGTTTGGCGTACTGTCGCACAGAGGAGTTAAAGCGGTGAGTTCAACTATATTCAATTTAACTTCATTTTTAATCATAACTTTATAGTTGGTTCCTGACGCGAGAAATGGAGCTGTTTAAATACAAATTTTCATCTATGAGCAGCACTGATATCAAACATTTTCTCGACCTAAATAAATTGGAGTATACGCCGCTTTCAGAATCGCAGAAAGACGCAGTAAAAGATGGTCTCTATGAGAGTACAATTGGTCAGAGTGTTTCCAAGATTGAATTACTGGACTTTTATAAAGTACCTTTTACACAAGTGTTAGATTTGGTGCGCACTCGGCGCTGTTATCTTAAGGATGGTTTTGCATATGTCAACACACAAGACTTTGTCTCAATTATAGCGGTGCTGCAGCTTAACGAAATTGAACATGGATTGCAATCTGCACAAAAGCTTATCCGTGAAGTAGAGACAGATGAGCGCATATTTCACTTGCTTAAATCGCTGCATACATCATACACAGGAAAAGATTATGCGCTTAGCAAAGAAGGAAACGTGCCGCCTGAATCACTAGATCAGCTTTCCAAAAAGTCATTCCCGATCTGCATGCGCTCTTGCCATGAGCATTTACGAACCCATCACCATCTTAAGCATGGCGGTAGAATGCAGTATGGCCTTTTTCTAAAAGGTATTGGCGTAACGTTGGAAGATAGCCTGCGGTTCTTTCGTGAGGAATTTACTAAGAAAATCGATGCGGAACAATTCGCAAAGCGTTATGAATATAATATTTATCATAATTATGGCAAAAAGGGTTCAATGATCAGTTATATGCCCTACTCTTGCCTTAAAATTATCCAAGAAAATCCAGTTCAAGATGATTGCCGTGGTTGTCCCTATAAATCAAGTGATCCAAGTCTATTAAAAATGAAGCTCACATCTTACGGTTTATCTTCAGCACACGTTCAAGAGATTATGACGTATGCTACAAAGGGTCACTATCAGTTAGCATGTGGCAAATATTTCCAAATAATGCATGAATCCCCAGGGGATATGGCAATAAACCATCCGAATCAGTATTTCGAGGAAAGTCAAATTTTGATGGGAAATCGCACATCAAAGAAAGCAGCTAATGCTAGTATACGTAAGCCGATGAAGCGTGGTGCCAATGATACGACACAAGTAATGAACGCCGATGAAGATGACGAGCTGTGGAACATTGCGGAAACTCAAGAGAGCACTTTCCATAGCCAGCAAGCAGAAAGAAGTGCGTGGGATGAAGATCTTGATCTGACGGCAATCGATTGTTAGCGGAATAGATATAAGTTTGAAAAAAGAGGATTTTTATAAAACGTTCCCTTTGGACTTTGTGCGACGGTCTTCTGGTACTCAATCTTTAAATAACTTTTTGACTAGCCGTACAGAAGTTTCAGAGTCTTGGGCCAGTTTCTTAATGTCTGGCTAACACTTATCTCCGGTCAAACATCGTTATCGAAGTTACTGAGTCCATGTAAAGTTGGCAACGATATATGACTGTGAATTAGTGTTAACCAGACATTGAGAAACTGGCCCTTAGTATCTAATCTAATTAGGGCTATCACAGAATCCAGCGCAGTCCGATTTTTCGTGAAACTACAAAAATTGTATCATTGAATTCGAATAGCTACAAACGTAGCGTACGTGTATTTTGAATACACACGTTCGTAGCGGTTCGGATTCAGTGATCGCACTTAAGTAGATCTCACGAAAAATCTGACCACGATGGATTCTGTAATAGCCACCAATATTCCTAATCAGTTTAAGTAAAAAAGTTTAATACTTAAATAAAATTAAGTCGTAGCAAGCCTTATCAGTTTAATTTAATTTACCCGTGGATTAGTAGGGTGCAATGGACAAAGCTTCATACTTGTGAAAACCTCACATTCGCGACTGTCATGGGAGCCTATTGAAGCTAGTTGCCCAAAAAGAACAAATTTCAATTGTTTTGCGGTTCGTGCTTTTAATGACGATAATATCTTTTGAACATTAAATAAGAAGTTATTAATATTCAAATATGGGAACATAGGATATTATTAGTAACATAAAACTGTTTTATGTTCATATACAAATATAAAATAATTCAAGTTTTTTAGTTAATTACGTCAGAAAATATGTAGATATATAGGTACATATTTTTGTTTTTAAAGACTTCAAGGAACAATTCGTACTAAGTGGGTTGCGCATCGAATTTCTTTTCGGCATTTTAACATTCGAAATTTTAATTTGAAGATTTAATAACGATCGCGGCGTCCTCGACCGCTTCCACTTCCGCCGCGAGAGCCCCGCCTTTCGCCGGCATTGCGATCACGAAAGTTATTATTAAACTTTGACATCTCATTTGCACGTCGATCCTTCATTGCCTTGAAACGATCTGCCATATCTCGAAGATCATCCGGTACTTCCTGGCCAGCTTCTTCTAATATACTTATAAGTTCTTTAGCAACACCCCAGTCATTCCGAGTAATAAAACTGATGGAAGTTCCAGTGCGGCCAGCGCGTCCGGTACGCCCTACACGATGTACATATTCCTCAATATTGCGAGGAAAATCGAAATTCACTACATGTCTGTAATAAAGTTGGCGTAAATAAGTATTACAAATGGTAAGGATAACAATACTAACGTAATGTCATCAATATCTAGTCCCCTAGAAGCGACGTCTGTTGCTATCAACAACCTTACTTGTCCCGAACTTATGTCAGCAATGGCCTGTTCTCGATCAGCCTGCAGGAGATAGTTAAAAGATGACAAACAATTAACGCTATAATACTGAATACATATGTACCTGTTCTCTAGAGCCATGTATGCATGTGCATAAAACACCCTCCAGCGTCAAATCACTGGACAAATCGTCAGCGCGAGTTTTCTTCCCGCAAAAGACTATAGCTTTGTCATTCTTTTTCATATTTCTTACAAATTGCTGAATCTATGTTCAAAAGATTAAACATAATTTTAATTCAAATTTACGTGTAAAGCAATAACCTACCGCAAAAAACTTATCCCCGTCATCCATTATTTCGATAATTTGTTTAACCGTGTGTGTCGCTGCCAAATCTAGTGAACCTACGCATACTTGTATTGGATTGCTCATGTAGCTTTGAGCTAAGCGCCTCACGCCGGGTGGCCACGTGGCACTGGTCATCACAGTTTGCCTATCAGGTCGGATGTCCAACAATACTTTACGAATTTGTGGTTCAAACCCCATATCTAACATGCGATCAGCTTCATCCAAAACCAAATAAGTTATACTAGATACGTTGATAATAGAAGCTTCAATGAGATCGTTCAGTCGTCCTGGAGTGCAAATAATAATTTCAACTCCACCCTGCACGTTGCTTATTTGTTCTCGCCGATTTCCACCCCCATATACGCACACACTGATATAGTTTATATTTAATTAACGATGGGCTAAATTAAACATTATGTGGAAAAGATTATACTTACGCTTTCATGCCACGAAACGAATATTTATTGACTTCTTTTTCAATTTGTAAAGCCAGTTCTCGTGTTGGCGCAAGCACCAATACATTAGGCCCCCCACGCTGCGTACGCGGTGTGCTTTGGTACTCAGTGTGAATCATAGCGGGCAACAAGAAAGCCAATGTTTTGCCGGTACCAGTTTGTGCGATGCCAATCATATCTTCACCTTTCAAGAGAATTGGCCAAGCTTGTGACTGTATGGGCGAAGGCTTTACAAAATCCTGTTTGTAAATTTCCTCCATCAAGTCAGGGTAAGCAGCAAAGCATTGCTCGAACTTCCAAATAGGATTCGGAATGTTTTCAGGAACGTCGTCTTGCTTGAATACTCGAGATACGGTGATATGATTACTTTCTTCTCGGATGCGTTCGACTTCTTCTGGCATAAGGTTTGTTACTTCCGGATCTTCATTATAGAAATTTTTTGTCAGGGGTGGGCACTTAGCCCAGCGTAATGCACGTTCTTCTTCCTGGAAAAATAGTGAACAAAACATGCATACTAATAACTCGTTTTAATTTAGTTTTGTTTGTATATATAATACCGCTTTTTTATTCAGGGCATCCCAATCGATAACTCCGGTAAAACCTGACTGAACTTTGTCTTCCTCATCGTATGGTTTTTCCGATCTATCCTCATAGTAACCACTCTGTTTCGTTTCCTTTAGTTGAAAATTATATATGGAATTTGACCTTCCGCCGCCTTTGCCATTATTGGCTTGATAATTGCCACCACCGCCCCCTCGTTTATTATTATTTGATTCCAATTGATCCTTTATATAATTGTATGCATCTTGAACATCTTGCTCGCTATTTCCACTAATCGTTGCTGTGCCGCTCCTTTTGTCAAGATCTACTCGGACGTTGAAGTCATTTTGTACACGTTGAATATTCGAACCAGCTCGACCAATGACGAGACCAACACAGTCCGATGGAATATTGATAGATTCACTATACTTATGCCTTTGATCGTTTTGACCACGTTTTTCCCCGTCATGTGGATAGCGATCACTCCCTCGATTGTGGCTGTCACGGTACCGCTGGGCTTTGTCACTCCCTTTGGAAAATGAGTTATTCTGGCTATTATAGGCCTCATGCTTCTTAGTGCCAGTTTGGCCTCCATCATCCCAGCTTTCTTCTTCCCAATCAGACATTCTGAAGTTATTGTTTTTCGTCACTAATTTAACAGCAAAGCAGCGAAGGTTTTAATAAAATGCTGATTAAGCAAAACAGAAACTGTAAATCTATGTAAATTCTGAAATTTCAGGTACAAACGGTATATTTCGGAGAACTAGATATGAAAAATATTCGATAACTTGCTTTAGTTTTTTACCATTATCTTGGAATGCAAAAGTCATTTTATTCTTGAACACATTTTGAATCCATTTCAGTTTAGCAACCAAGGTGAGATAATATTAATTTTCACAAATGAATTAGTTTTTCTTAAGGTGCGATAGTCTGTTTTAATAGACAAAAAATATCGTATCATACCGATATTTTGCCGATTGTAAAGGCCGATCCACATAGGGCACTGACACACGGTCAGTATTTATTGACGTGATCCAAGTACAGCGATATTTATTGACGCTTTAGCATGCAGTATTGATGAATCGTTATCCATATTGCAAAATTTCTAAAAATTTTGAAATCTGGATCGCGGATCGCAATACCATCAATAAATATCGAACGTGTAGCATTTTTAAAACGCGATACATACATTTCATCAGTACATCTTTTACTCTCATAATGCGAACACCGGCTCTGCCTTCGCTCTCGGGGGTTAAAATCTTTCAAAACAAATTTTAATTATCTGTAAATTATACATACAAAATAAACATATTTTCTTGCATCATAATAAGCTTTCAGAACAAAAATTGTGCAAATACTGACGCGATAAATATTGAACATGTAGCATTCNAATATTTTCTTGCATCATAATAAGCTTTCAGCAAAAAAATTATGCAAATACTGACGCGATAAATATTGAACATGTAGCATTCGTGCGCGATCGATCAGGTGACCATCTTCCTTAAGGTTTATTAATGGATAAAACAGCCTCTCCTGCAAATCCGTCAAAACCTGCAAATCGTGAAGCATCTGAAAAGCAACTAATGACCATTGAAGTGTGACAATTGACGGCTGTGACAGCACGCGAATAGGGCTGTAAGTCTAAGTGTGCAAGGAGTTAAGAGTCGTATGCACCATGCAAGCGGTTTGTCAAACTTAACAGCTAAATAAATCACACAAGCTGCTGTTCAAATCTACTTTAGTATTTATCCATTCACTTTTTTATAGATGAAAACTAAATTTTAAATTAAATATCGATAATGCGGGCAAATTATCGATGTCTTCTGTATATCGGCCTGTGAATATTGATTCAAAAAATCGATTATCGCACCATAAAATATCGATATTCAGAATAATCGACACGATATTGAACATACCTAAGCGATAGTAGTTGTGTTTTGGTATTCTCCAGCTAAATTTATCCAGTAACTTCACATGAACCAAAAAGACAAGATCACGCGGGCAGGAGAGCAGCCCGTTAGAATCGCATTTAGGAAAAAAGTTGAACGATTTTGACCATGAACCAAAAAGACAAGATCACGCGGGCAGGAGAGCAGCCCGTTAGAATCGCATTTAGGAAAAAAGTTGAACGATTTTGACCATGAACCAAAAAGACAAGATCACGCGGGCAGGAGAGCAGCCCGTTAGAATCGCATTTAGGAAAAAAGTTGAACGATTTTGACCATGAACCAAAAAGACAAGATCACGCGGGCAGGAGAGCAGCCCGTTAGAATCGCATTTAGGAAAAAAGTTGAACGATTTTGACCATGAACCAAAAAGACAAGATCACGCGGGCAGGAGAGCAGCCCGTTAGAATCGCATTTAGGAAAAAAGTTGAACGATTTTGACCATGAACCAAAAAGACAAGATCACGCGGGCAGGGGACAAGCCCGTTAGAATCGCATTAAGGAAAAAAGTTGAACGATTTTGACATTAGCCGTTTATTTACATTTCTTCGTTGTTTACAATTTGGTGGTGGCTTTTTACTGCAATTTTCTTCATTTTCGCTTGTGACAACGTGTGTACACATAAGATAAAGAATAATTTAACACAACGGCATGATTTATAGAAGAATTTGCATAATAAAAATGATTTTTCATGCGTTCAACAATTTCGCGGTTTTCTCCGTTCTCTTCGTTGTTTACTTCTTACAGCAAAGATGGCGTCGAGATTTCGGCAGCTAGAAAATAACTTTTTTCGTTCTTTCCTTCCCGCGTGATCTTGTGTCTTTCGTTCATGGTAACTTCACGATTGAGAGAAATAGAGATTGCGCCAATCACGGTACCACTAATCCGCTCTTTGTGATTTTGACAGAATCAGCTGTGTCCGTGACGTCGTCTTGGTGCAATTGTTGATTGTGAGCATACGAAAAAATCAAATAATAATTTTAATATATGTGCGTAAATATTTCTGCGTGGTTTTATACAATTATTGAGACATTACAAAGCAAAATGAATTGTGCCGTGGCAAAGTGCAATAGTGAAAACAAAAGGAAAGCGTGCGATATAAGTTTTTTTTTCGTTTCCTACGAACGCAAATCTGGCGAAAAAGTGGAAGCAGTTCTGCCGGCGAGGAGATGCATTAAACACCAAATCGAGCTATGTGTGCATGAAGCACTTTACTAGTGAAGATATTGAAAATAATATTTTTAGTGCTGGTATGAGGTAATGCACCAATGGATAAGGTCGCCAGGCATCAAGCGGCATCTTACTGCGCTGTTTCGTACCTAATACAAAACAGTGCCTAAATTATCATACATTTAAAAGTTCAGCTTAAATTATGTTTTACTTACATAAAATATATGTTTCTAAAGAAGCCAAACTCATGCATCCTCTCGGAAATGGTACAAAAGTCATCAAATAAAAGCTGTGGAGTCAACAGCTGTCGAGTTTATGGTGGTTGGCTACCGTCCACAAATATAAATATGCACTCTGCATGGCTTTTCACAATGGCGAGTCCAAAAATTCACTTTGCTGATCAACTTCCTTTTGGTCTACATGAAATTGCAAACACTGTTAATACATCCATTTTTTAATGTGCTAAAAATCATACTTACCTAAAGGGCTACATATCCAAAATTATTGCTACGTGTTCCTAATTAACTAATCTTTGTATATTTATTGATTCCTGCAAAATTGGGCCATGTAGTATTAAAATTAACACATTTTTCTGCATGCGTTTTGGCATTTCTTTCTCGTATTGCACCAAGATGACGTCACGCAAAAATTACGCTTAAAAATTCTCTCTCATTAGCTCAATCTAGTATTCTATCATTCTTGCAATAACTTGCCAGTAACCATATTTCGGAGAGTAAGCCAATATTTACTCCCAATGAGTGAAATATTCAAGTACGAAAACGCAAAACCAGCAAGAAGTTACTAGTTTTATGAACAGCTGGTTAAGTTGTTATTTTCCGATGCAATTTTCTTAGAAAGCTAGTATTTTCCATCTTATTATATATTTAAATAGGTTTATTAAATAAAACGCAACTAAATAAATTAATAAAGTTTATTTTGTCAATTGCAACTCTAAAAGCATCGCAAACAATTATTTTGTTAACGCGAATAACATTAAGGATCATGTCATCAGCTGATTTTCTTACTAGCAATTAGTTGCTTATAAAAATGTATCCAATAAAAATCCAATAAAACGGTAAAAGTGCACTTTAGCGAAAGGAGGCCAAAATTGATGAAAAAATTCAAAACAATAATCCGAGACCGGAAATTCAAATTTTTAATTCATTAAAGAGTTACTTGCAAAAAACACTTGCACTTTTCGCACTATGTTTTGATGAATTTGACGCAAATAAATGGAGAAATGAGCTCAACTGAACACATATTCATTATTCTCATTTTTGTTGTTGGTATTTCCGACAGGGTAGGAGTGTGATGTAATGTGGAACGATTTTCCATCATCCCTTGTCAAATTTGGTTTCGAAAAGAACGAAAAATGACACTGAAGATGGCACAACGCCGAAACCGGTTTGTCTCCAAACCAAATTTGACAAGGGATGACGGAAAATCGTTCCATATTACATCACATATTCATTACTTTTTATACATTTGTGATGTTTTAAGTGTACACTTTCGCGAAATTCTGTATTTAATAGCAATATTCCGATGGTGAAAATCCGCACAACAATCTTGCGTAGGTAATATAAATAACATGGAGGAAAACTAGTGTTGCCACTCTATTAAAAATAAAATGGAACTAAATTGCTGCTGCCACTCTTTTAAAAAAGTTTTTGTCCGTCCAACTCCTTTTTGCGTAGGCGGCCTTCGGTCGCGCTTAGGGATTATAACCCTCACAACGTAGAATTCTCCTTTCTGTGTTGCCAAAGAAAAGGGGCAGAACACCTTTCTGCGTAGGCGGCCTTCCGCCGCGCTTAGGGATTATAACCCTCACAACATAGGATTCTCCTTTCTGCGTGCGAAGAAGGAAGAGAAATCCCCTTTTCACAAAAGTATATTTCTTGTGCATTATTTGGGTGTTTTTAAAGTTGCAATACAAATTGTATTAATAGAGTGGCAGCACTAGTTTTCCTCCATCTTATTTATATTAACTACACAAGATTGTTGTGCGTATTTTCACCATCGGAATATTGCTATTAAATACAGAATTTCGGGAAAATGTACACTTAAAACATCACAAATGCATAAAAACTAATAAATACGTGTTAAATTAAGTTCCATTATTACATTCATTTGCGTGAAATTCACCAAAACATATTACGGAAAGTGCAAGTGTTTTTTGCAAATGACTCTTTAATTAATTAAAAATGTTAATTTCCGGTCTCGGATTGTTATTATTGGCGTTAAGACGCGTCGATTGATAACACTCTCGAACTATTTCCGTCCATTTTGACCTACCTTCGCCATAGTGCACTACTACCAATAAAACTTGCAAGTTGCGGTGTCAATTTCCCCTCTTTTGCTAGTTTCTTGCAAGTTTTTGCATACGAAAACGACATCCAGTAAAAACCAGTAAAATTAGTACTGGATTTACTGGATAGCTCGTACGCAAACAGGGCTAGTGTTTAGAAAAATTCGATAGTGGCGGAAAAATGATACCATCGATACTATCGATAACCCCATCGATAGTTCTCCATCACTACTACCAAAAGTGCGACGACCCATTGCTTGCGGACGGGTAAAGGAAGTTCTTAGTAAAATCATAAATTTGTGCCAATTTAACTAAAAATAAAATACAATTTTAGAAAATAATAGTAAATCAATTACGTACGCAAACAAATTTAAACTTTTCTTGCATTTTGTGCTTTCAAGCACTACCGAAAAATGGAAAATTTCTAGAGGATGAAATTTTTTTCTCGTGCAAACATTTTTTTCAGCTGCCATAGCAAGTACATTAGTAAAACAAAGGGAAAGTCATGAGCGTGACTGAGATGAATGCAATCGCAATTTTCGAATAGAGTTGAGCTTCTTTGACAAGTGTTTAACCAAGCAGAAGCTGGAAATTCAATGCCGTATTAAAACGAAAACAAAAGCGAAACACTGCAATAGAAATATACAATAAATAGGAAGAACTGCACAAAGAAGAAAAAGTGGAAGTGGAGTTAACGCCGACTGCTGTGGCGAGTGTAAACTCCAAGTGGAAAAGAGCGACGTCTATTACCGAAAATGGCGTTCTATTCGGGCTGGTTTGGTCCCTTTCCCTTTAACTCGAATTCAAGGACTCTTTAGGAAAAACTCGAATAGCTTTAAAAAACAAATGTGTTAAAGACTGTATAATATATCAAAAATGGAAGCTATGCATGTACAAAATACAAGAAAAATCTAAGTGGGTGAAAACTAGTAAAGGATAATTAATACTAAGATAACTGGTCTCCTAATGTATGTATGTACGTTCCTGAATCTGCAACCTATAACATTTCCAAGTTTTACAGGTTTTTCTTTAATTTTTAGGAACAATTTGAAATACCGTTTAAAAATATTTCTGACCCTTTGAATATTCCTAACATCATATAAGGAAAAATGCCCAGCGCTTCCTTCACTTCGTCGCGCTCGTACGTGCGCCGCTCCCGACGTAAAGGTGCTAACCGCATAGCTTTACCCAATCGTCCGTCCGGTAAGACGGAAATAATTTACATATTTATAAAATGTTTTGAAAATATCCACTTTCAAGGTAACATAATGGATCCTATGCTGCAAAACATGCCCGGACCTAGTGCTTCGTCAAACTCAAACTCAAGTACAAGCTCCAAGGCTTCGCAACAAAATAATATAAATCCGACTATGTCCAATGTATCGTCTGCAACTGGGAATGCGTCGACAATTCCGTCTGGTTCACTCTCGACATCGCCATCATCATCGTGTTCCTCGGGCGACACTTCATCGCAATCGGCTGCAATTGTTCTTAGCACATCCTCAGCCGCAATGGCAGCATCAGCAGCTGCAGGTGCTGTATCATCCGAAATGTTTGTAGATGTTTCTGGTGCCTCTTGTTCACAGTCGTCGACATCGTCTGGATCTTCAACCTCCAGTGGCAATTCAGCTTCCTGCAATTTTGGCCAAGCGGGCGGACAAAAAATGCTAGGTGGCACTTGTTCGAGTAACTTAATGAGCTCGTCGTCTTTAAACACAGGCGGAGGTTTTGTAGGAGCACATATGATGGATACAGAAACAAGTAGCAACTGTCCAGGTATAGAAATCCTGCCTCAATTCAGAAATGAAACTCTCTCATCAAAGTTTTTTCAGGTTCCTCGAATAGCGCATCAAATAATAGTGCAGGCACTTCTAGTAGTATAAATAATGCTAGTAAGATATTGCCTATTTTATTTACTTTATGCAATAAGCTAAATATTTCTCATTTGCAGCATGCAATCCTATTTTTTCGAGTTCAGTGCCGTGTAGTTCATCAACAAATATGTCAAATGTAACTGCTTCTATATCTACCAGTGTGGCCAGTTGCTCACATCAATCACCGTACGACCTGCGAAGAAAGATGCCCTCCAATGGTCACGAGCAATGGTGTAACACGAGCATTGCTTCAAATCTTTCTTCTCCATCTGCTTCCAATACTCTTGCCAACAACAGCACTTTAGGTGCATCACCCAATACTAGTAATAGTAGCTCACAATCTGTTTCCTGTGGTTCACCGCCACATCTCGGTGGAAATAGCAATATTGCATCCATTTCTGCTCTGCCGTCATCATCCTCTTCATCGTCAGCCATTGTACACGCGCCATTAACTAGTGCCACATTTCCCGTAAATTCACCTACTACCGGTGCACCATTAGGGCCATCACCAACAGTTCACAGTTCCATACCACAGCAACATTGCAGTGCTCTGCCGATTGGCGGCATTGAGGACAATAATTTCATGTTACCAGCACGCAAACGTTCACGCCGTCTATATGCACAAACTGCTGATATGCCTTGTATGGCTGCTTGTACAGGAGCGACAACGCCCACTGGCCCAACTGCTGCGCAATATTTACAATATGAAATGCCGGACGAAGTACTGCTTGCCATATTCTCATATCTTTTGGAACAGGATTTATGCAGGCTAGCCCTAGTTTGTAAACGGTTTAATACTATTGCTAATGATACTGAATTGTGGAAGAGGTTATATCAATCGGTATTTGAATATGACATGCCACTCTTCAATCCCGAACTATGCAAGTTTGTATTCGAAAAGCCGGAGGAATCTGAATATGCAAATCCATGGAAAGAGAGTTTCAGACAGCTGTATCGTGGTATACATGTTCGAGCAGGTTTTCAGGTAAACGAGTAAAAGCTTAAACAGACGGCAGCGTTGATCGGGATTAACTGAGACTTAATCCGGATCAAATGCAGTTAATTCCCGAATTGATCCGGATCAACGCTGCCGTATGTTTAAGCTCTAAGCATGTCTTTTTACCAAAGAATGAACCATTCGTTTCCATATAATTCCCTAGGATAAAAAATATTCCGGACGTAGTATTTTGTTCTTCAATACCATACAGGCGGCATTGGACTACCCAGAAGAACGTGCTGCTGCAGCAATAGCAGCGGGGTCCACCACTTCCAATGCTTCTGCGAATGTCTCTAACTCAACTAGTAGTGGTGGTGGAAATGTCAATGCGTTAGTCAGCATTTTTGAGGATAATATTCCACCTGCTGATCATCCAGGGCCACTGATTTTCCTCCATGCTGGCCATTACAAGGGCGAATACTTATATATAGAAACAGATGTTGCTTTAATTGGCGCGGCGTCTGGTAATGTTGCCGAATCCGTCGTTTTGGAGCGTGAAGCCGGTTCAACAATGATGTTTGTTGAAGGCGCCAAATATGCTTATGTTGGTTATTTGACTCTTAAATTTTCACCGGATGTCACATCTACAGTGTCTCACCACAAACATTACTGTCTCGATATTGGAGAAAACTGCTCTCCGACTGTAGATAATTGCATAATACGTAGCTCGTCGGTGGTAGGCGCCGCAGTGTGTGTTAGCGGTGTTAACGCTAATCCAGTCATACGCAATTGCGACATAAGTGACTGTGAAAACGTCGGTCTTTATGTGACGGATTACGCTCAAGGAACTTATGAGCACAACGAAATCAGTCGTAACGCTTTGGCTGGTATTTGGGTAAAGAACTTTGCCAGTCCTATTATGCGAGAAAATCACATTCACCATGGGCGTGATGTAGGGATATTTACATTTGAGAATGGCATGGTGAGTTTATTGTAATAGTTTATCTAGAAATGTACACTTAATCATCTCCGTCACAGGGATACTTTGAGAAAAATGACATACATAACAATCGAATTGCTGGCTTCGAAGTAAAAGCTGGCGCAAATCCTACTGTAGTCAAATGTGAGATACATCATGGACAGACAGGTGGGATTTACGTGCATGAGAATGGATTGGGTCAATTCATTGAGAATCGCATACATTCGAACAACTTTGCAGGTAAATTAAAACGAGGCGAAAGTTGGAGCTTTAAATAAACCTATGTATTTTCTACCAGGCGTCTGGATAACCTCTAATAGTAATCCAACCATACGCAAGAATGAAATTTACAATGGGCATCAGGGGGGTGTTTACATCTTTGGTGAAGGTCGAGGTCTTATAGAGCACAACAATATTTATGGCAACGCCTTAGCCGGCATACAAATACGTACAAATAGTGACCCGATAGTTCGTCACAACAAAATTCATCACGGCCAACATGGGGGCATTTACGTGCATGAAAAAGGACAAGGCTTGATTGAAGAAAATGAAGTATACTCGAACACTTTAGCTGGCGTTTGGATAACGACAGGCAGTACCCCGGTTTTGCGGCGAAATCGCATACATTCTGGCAAACAGGTGAGAGGCACATAAATTCTATAAAAAGGAACGAATAATAGTTAATACGAAATGTGAAATGCCCGACGAAAAACAAAAAAAAAAAATATACATACATATACCACTGAGGCCATATGATATTATATGGCTTTAGGCGTTCGTTATTTTCGTGTGTGTTTTTCTAACCTCTAATCTCTTTTCGTAATAAGAGGAGCTATTTACTACCATGTTACAATGTTTAGAATTTTGTTTTTTTTATTGTGTTTGTTGTACTATGAAACATATTATTATTTTGGTTTTAAATAACAAATAACACAGCGCAACACTCAAAAAGTGATGGAAACAAGACCAATTGCATTCATTAAAAGATATCAAAATATAAATAAAGCATTTGTAAAAGTTGGCTCCAATTTCTTTTTTATATCGATTTGAAGTTGTGAATTTAAGATTCAAGAATAAACAGGTACAATTATTTTTTTTTTGAAGTAGAATACGTGCATGATTCAATAATAATTAATTATTGAATCATGGAATACGTGTACGTTTCGATATGGAGGCTATGCTCAAATGTTGTAGTTGTAATTTTTAGAGCTTTACGAAAACGCTTATTGCACGAGAACTAATGAAGCGATTTGAAAGAAAAGTGTGGCGTTTCAAAGATATAATTCCAAACCTATCGACAGATTCATTTTTGTGAGTAACCAATTCGGTTTCTGTCGTAGGAACAACGGTAAATATTGGTTTATTTTGGGGTCAGTTTTGAGCCTTTCAAGTGTTCTAGCAACTTACGAATTGCAGGTTAAACTTTCATTTTCGGGATATAGATTCTTTGGAGCAATAGAAATATTATCGTGTACAGATTTAATATAAATTCTACAAATATTGAGCATTCTATGGCAAAAAAAAATTTGAAAAAATTAGAAATTTTTTTTTATTTCCAAAATACTCGAAACCGCTCGAGTGATTTTGTTGTCCAAAAATTCAATATTTTCCTTTCATTTCGTATATTGGTTGATATCTTCCAAGTATGTTTTTTTNTACAAAAGCATTTGTAAAAGTTGGCTCCAATATCTTTTTTATATCGATTTGAAGTTGTGAATTTAAGATTCAAGAATAAACAGGTACAATGATTTTTTTTTTGAAGTAGAATACGTGCATGATTCAATAATAATTAATTATTGAATCATGGAATACGTGTACGTTTCGATATGGAGGCTATGCTCAAATGTTGTAGTTGTAATTTTTAGAGCTTTACGAAAACGCTTATTGCACGAGAACTAATGAAGCGATTTGAAAGAAAAGTGTGGCGTTTCAAAGATATAATTCCAAACCTATCGACAGATTCATTTTTGTGAGTAACCAATTCGGTTTCTGTCGTAGGAACAACGGTAAATATTGGTTTATTTTGGGGTCAGTTTTGAGCCTTTCAAGTGTTCTAGCAACTTACGATTTGCAGGTTAAACTTTCATTTTCGGGATATAGATTCTTTGGAGCAATAGAAATATTATCGTGTACAGATTTAATATAAATTCTACAAATATTGAGCATTCTATGGCAAAAAAGATTTGAAAAAATTAGAAATTTTATTTTTATTTCCAAAATACTCGAAACCGCTCGAGTTATTTTGTTGTCCAAAAATTCAATATTTTTCCTTTCATTTCGTATATTGGTTGATATCTTCCAAGTATGTTTTTTTGATTCAAATATATGGGCATAACAAATTTTCCATACAAAATCACTTCGTCATTATTTAGCAAACACGGTCATGCGCTGGAAGGACACAAAAAGTATATGTGTGTAGGTATTTCGGCTTTTGAATAAAAGATGGCGCAATATTTATAAAAGGAAAAGGTGAAGGGGAATATGCAGATGAAGAATAGGGTAAACATAAAAGTAAAAAATAAAACAGATAAATATAAAGAAAAATTTGAGGATAAGGATACCGATAAAAGTAAAGATGAAGATAGAGGAAGAAAGATTAAAATAAACGTAATTATAGAGAAAAGGATATAGACAGAGACTCAATCTGGGGACTATTTCGGGATTTTAGAGATTTTCGGAACTCTCGGACTTATCGATATAATAATCGATATTTTATCTATTTTGTTATCGGTATTTTTTTGTCGATTTTGTTATCGAAATTTGTATCGATATTGTTATTGATTTTGGTATCGATATTTTCGGAACTTATCTATAAAATAAACGAAATTTTGAATCGATTTTGTTATCGATATTTTAATCGATTTTTTTATAGATGTAATCGATTTGGTTATCGATTTTGTAAACGATTTTGCTCTCGGTATTATTATCGATATTTTTATCGATATTAGTATCGCTTTTGTTATCGATATTTGTTTCTTATTGTGTGCTTTCGTTTTTGACTTGGATGTGCTCTTAACCATACCACGTATTCTACATTTAAATTTAGCGGCTGTGTCTCCGATACAGCCTGTAGACCAAGACGCGCTGAACTGTTTCTTTTTTTTTTTGGTTTCGCTAACAAATTTTATAAAGTCCGTGATGAGAATGACACCAATTGCATTCATTAAAAGAAGTCAAAATATGAATAAATACGAAGGCATTTTCCTTTTTATATCGATTTGAAGTGAATTTAAGGTTCAAAAATAAACAAATACAATGATTTTTTTTTTTTTGGTTTCGCCCACAAATTTCACACCTACATACATATAGTAAGTATATCATCGATGTTTTTGCAAAACCGCTCTCTCTCTCTAGCTATTATGTTACAAATCTGTTATTTTAATAACGCTTTAAGGATCTTTATACATAAATCTCGATGCCTGGAGTTCGGGGTTACCAAATCTCATTTTTGCCACAACGGTGATTTAGGCTGTTATGAAACTGGTTTACGATTTTGCACAAACATCGACGATATATACATATATATATATATATATATATATATATATATATATATATATATATATANATTTCACCTCAAGTGGCCCAACTTTTGAAATCGATGTCTTCCGATCGGGACGAAATTTGCACCAAGGTGATTAAGATTTTTTGTAGTCTAACACAGCAGGTATTCGAGTTTGTGCATCCAAACACTTTCTTACCAACTTTGCAGAAAAAAACGTTAAAATTATTTTTTATTAAAAAAAAAAAAATCAAAAAAATTTATTTTATAAAAAAAAAAATTTGTAGACTGAAGGGAAAGCTGTCGAAAACATTCCTGAAAACATTTTCTAAATACAATAGGTAATTAGTAATGTGGATCCGAAAAAAGGACTGTTTGACCAAAATGTCAAAATTCTGGACCCTCCAACTCGGAGTGTGTTTGACCGATCGCGTTGAAATTTTGTGTCATAACTACTATTTATTAGGACTAACCTTGGTGCAAAGTCCCGATCGGAAGACATCGATTTCAAAAGTTGGGTCACTTCCGTTCCGTTAATTTTGGAAAGTGTGTTTCAAATTTTACGTTCTCATTGGGGTCTGATTTCTCCAACTTCAAATTGAGACAAAAAGGAAATGGTAACCAACTTTTTCAAATCCTGTGGTACTTTTTAATTATTTTACTAGCTTAACCAAATGCCGTGGGTCCGATTCCCATCACCTCCAACTTTTTGAAATTCGCTTCAGTGTATTATTTAAGATGAAAAACTTTAACAAAATACAAATTTTATTTGGGTGCACGATTTAAGCTGTAAGCCATTGTAGCACTCGACTGTAAAAACGGCGCTTATTAAGACGAATTATTAAATCTTGTCGGAATGTACAGCAAACTTTATGAATCCTCAAAAAAAAAATGTTTCCCATTTTGTAACAAAGTGAACGAACTCTTTCATTTAAATTACAACATCTATCAATTGCAGGTTGGCGTATATTTTTATGATAATGGACACGGCAAACTTGAAGATAACGACATATTTAATCACCTATACTCGGGTGTACAAATACGTACTGGTAGTAATCCAGTTATACGTGGCAACAAAATTTGGGGTGGACAAAATGGTGGCGTATTAGTTTACAATGGTGGTCTCGGTCTATTGGAACAAAACGAAATATTTGATAACGCAATGGCTGGTGTGTGGATAAAAACCGATTCGAATCCGACACTAAAGCGAAACAAGATATATGACGGACGTGATGGCGGCATTTGCATATTCAATGGCGGCAAAGGTGTACTTGAAGAGAATGACATCTTCCGCAATACCCAAGCTGGTGTTCTCATCTCTACGCAATCGCATCCAATTTTGCGACGCAATCGTATTTACGATGGTCAAGCAGCTGGTGTTGAAATCACAAACAATGCAACCGCCACTTTAGAGCATAATCAGATTTTCAAAAATAAATTCGGTGGCTTATGTCTAGCGAGCGGCGTACAACCTATTACACGTGGTAACAATATATTCAACAACGAAGACGAAGTCGAAAAGGCTGTTTCGGGTGGTCAATGCCTGTATAAAATTAGCAGCTATACTTCATTTCCAATGCATGACTTTTATCGTTGCCAAACCTGCAATACGACGGATCGCAATGCCATTTGTGTTAATTGCATTAAGAATTGCCATGCAGGACACGATGTGGAATTCATAAGACACGATCGGTAAGTAGACAAGGCAAAAGCAATAATTGATTTGTAGTACATAGATGCATGTGATTCTAAATACCACTTGTTCGTAAACGCAATGTGCCGCATAAAGCAAAAAAAAATGCTCTTTTAGTTCTATACTACATATAAATAATAGATATGCCCAATTTTCACAACTAAATCCCCTTTTGACATTATTCGTGTTCGTGCAAACTGGACATTTCCGTCAATTATACTTCAGAAATAAAATGGATGGTTGATTTGCAGTAATGCGTTTAGGATCAAGTGAATTACTGCTTATCTGGTTAACAATATTAATCAATAACTATTTATTTATATTATTCTTTTAACTAGCTTCTTTTGCGATTGCGGCGCTGGTACGCTTTCAAATCAGTGTCAATTGCAAGGCGAGCCGACTCAAGATACGGATACACTCTATGATTCGGCAGCACCTATGGAATCTCATACGCTCATGGTGAATTAATTCTAAAAAAAATAGAATTTCATTAAGGCCTACAATCGAATGTAAATGAACTGAACAGAAGGGAATTCAGTTATTTCAGTCACTAATATTTTGCGAATGAATCTCAGTACGGTGAGTTTTTCATTTCACACTTGAGTTTAGTCCGACCGCCTTCTATTAGGTAGCAGGTACTTGTCGATGCTTAAAAGGGCTTGTAAATTGATATTAGAAGTAAAAGTTGCTTTGCAAATGAGTATAAAGGGCATTTTACCTTCTTAGTATGTTGACAACCTGTTACAAAATTTCAGCTGTTTTCCACGTTCATTTTTTAAATACCGTTAATTGTTTGGCTGAGTTAGAAAACGTCAATTGCTTTACNGACGTTCATTTTTTATTAAATACCGTTAATTGTTTGGCTGAGTTAGAAAACGTCAATTGCTTTACATACATACGTACAAAGTATAATGTTCCATAACGCCACACTACAAATGTTGACGATGTATAATTTTCCAAAACGCATCAGAAAAGTGTCGAAACGTAAAGTAGATGCTTCTTTTTGACTGACATCCAAAAAAGGAGGAGGTTATCAGTTCGTCGGAATATTTTATTTTTATTTTTATTTATATTTTTATGTATGTTACCGCATAACTTTGGACCACGTCAACCGATTTCGATATATGCAACGGAAAGGTAGTGTCTCAGAGGTGGTCCCATACTAATTTGGTTTAGATCCGATCATTGAATCATGAAATATATAGACATATATATATTTTTTTAAGTCGGTTTATTTTGCTAAAAATTACTTGTGTTATTAATTGTTAAACATGAAAAATTCCGAAACGTTGCTCATTTGTATATTGAATATTCCAAAATATACAATGTACTTTGCATATACAAACAGTTTAAATACCGCAGTAGGAAAGTATCCAAACAATGGGCTTATTCGAGTTGCAATCACAACCGCAGTGTTGCGCGAATTATTAAAGTATCACGTTCGGTTTAGTATTTTGGCAACGTTTTATCAATTGCGAAGTTGAGACAGTCATGTAAATTTTCATCAGCGCTGCGGTATTGCCGCTTTTATCACGTGCTTTGAAAGTCAGCCTTTTTTCGACCACAAGCTTGGTAAAAATATCAAGCATTAGGACTTTTGGGATTTTGAATTATTCCATGACAAAATATAATACATCCCCCGAATAAATCAGTGTTTTGTGTTTAATTCATTTTCTATAGTTTATTAGATCTACTAAGAATACGAATGTACTGATCTGAATATTGGTTAAGTGTCAACTCGAATCGCATAATATTATTTCAAATAATTTCTGCGATTATAAATACATACACTTGCATGTGTATTGCATATTTTAGTTTTTTTAAATCATATAAATCTATGGACGAAAAAAGAACAAATTCTTATAATTTCAAATTCTTTGCGTCCTTATAAAAATCAAATCGTATGCAAATATAATGCCACGAGCAAACTCCTAAAAATGCAACTATACGAAAGCACAATGCAAATAAGCGAAAGAAGGCCAAACGAATTGTCTTTTTTGTGAATGTAGAAATTGATAAACATTGTACTCATTATACGTATGTATGTAAGTATTTAATTGTAGTTAAAACGAAACTTTGAGTTTGGAGCAGATTTTAAATTTTAGTTAACCAGAGGTATCTTATAGCATAAACAGACGGCAGCGTTGATCCGGATCAACTCGGGAATTAACTGCAGTTGATCAGAATTAAGTCCGAGTTAATCTGGATCAACGCTGCCGTCTGTTTAAGCTTTTAGAGTCCAGGTTTTGCTAGAATGAGATTAAACATAGTCATTATAAGAAAGAAAAAAACTTTAAGCACTATTGGGAAAGATGAGTATTTCATTAAGTTCTCCCTGTTTCACCTGACGATTATTTATATACCAGACATTTTTGTATAATTTTATGTACCAACGTTAACAATAGTTGCGTCCGATAACAAAATTAACCATCACCAGCCATCAAAACAACTCAAGAGCGAAAATCCTTTATCAAATTAGAGGAAAACCAAAAAAGCTAACGAACAGAAAATTAGCCCCAGTAGATCATTTCGGGAGTTAAAAGCCATTCCGAAGGGCCTTCCTGAGAGTCAAGAGGCTTTCTACTCTACTTTCCTTTCTCTTTATTTTTTGTATGGAGTGACACAAATTGAAGGGCTTCGTTTTTCGCACCCATAGAAGGCCGTCCAGAAGCGCTTTTGTAGGCCTTTTGGAGAAGTTCTTTTAATGTTGCTTCTTTAAATCATAAAAATCATACATTTAAAGTATTTGCTTAAGGTTTATATCAAATATGTGTTATTGCAACTTAAAATGTATATTAAAATTCATTTGTAATACTAAATAATATAAATTTACGAATTCGCGTAAATCGTAAATGGATAAGCCCTTCTAAAAGGTATGCAGGGAAGCTCTTTTTTCAGCCCTTCTTGGAATGGCTTCACTTAAGAAGGCCTACCTAAATTATCTTAAAAACCAGGAAGAATAAGACAAACAGCTGGTGGTGTTTATGTTTTGTTAATAAACAAACAGAAATTTATGGTACCGCCTTGGACGAAAAAGAAGGTTGATGTGCAATGTTCGCCAGGACCATTTCTGGAAGTAAAAATTAGTTTGCAGCATTATAAAGACACATAGTAGGCAGTTAAAAAAAATTTAAAGTACATACCAAAAAATCATTGGATTCGATTCTCTGCAGGGACCGAGAACGCGTTCAAGTGCACGAGAACAAAATGTAATGTCAAGAACGTTCCCTCAAAAGCGCCAACGGAAACAGTAATATTGAGAACAGTTTGAACGCGAACAAATGGAGAACAAAAGGTACGGGAACGTTTCCGTAAAGAACAAAGCGCGTAAAAACTCTCGGTAACGTTCTCAAGAAGAACAGAATGAGATCGAAACTTTCGGGAACGTTTCCAATGACAACAAATTAAGAACGAAGATGTCGAGAACGTTTTTAAGGAGGATCAAATAAGAACAAAAGTCTGGGGAACGTTCTGCTAGAGAACGAAACGAGAACAAAAATTTTGACAACTTAACGTTAAAAATGAGAAGAGGGTCGTCGGCGTGTTGGGGTGAAAAATCGTTTCAGTGAGAACCACGATTGGTAATTCTAAGCCAGAGGAAAGCTGGATCATTTCAACTTCCAGATTGTTAGGAAGGATTAGGGTGAACTATCCATTTAAGGAAAACATTTTCATTTTCTGTGCAAGAAAAGTTCGTGTCTTAAGTTTTTCGTTGACTTTATTTGCATAACTATCGTTCAGTTCATTTTTGATTAATTTTAATAGTCAAACATTGCAAACTAATGGAACGCTATGAGAAAAGTTTTGTTCTCGCTTCCATTATTCACGAATAGTTCAGAGAAGATTTGTTTCCGCTTCGTTCTCTGTCAGAAAGTTCCTGAGACTTTAGCTCTCTTCGAGAGAAAGTACCTTAGATTTTTGTTCCCGTTTTGTTCTTTGCCAAAACGTTCCGGTGACTTTTGTTCTCTTAAAATGTTCCCGAAAACATTGTTCGCATCTTGTTCTCTTTGGGAACGCTCCATAGGGTTTTGTTCTTATATAATTCCCATTGAGAAATTTCTCCACAGTTTTGTTCTCATTTCGGCTTAGATTTTGAAGCGCTCTTGGGAACAAAATTTCGAGAACGACATTTAGTTTCGATCATACCTTTTTACATGTTTTCGTGATAAACAATTTTTGCTGGCTAAAATTTTTCCACCACAAAATTAAAGTTTCTCTTGCACCAAAAGAACGTTTGATGGATAATTTGTTGCCGTTATCAAATGCCTACTTGCAAAAATTAGGAAAATCTATTAAACATTTTTGTGTTATCGAACGCTGGGAATTTGTATGTAAAATACAAATATGTATTCCGAAGTGATATCGCGAATAAAAATCCTCTTCCGTTGGGAAAAGGTTCTTGCATGTTTTAGTTTTTTTTTCTGGTTGCGATTGCATCCTACATATGTATTTATGGTATATAAAGTATATATATATATATATATAGTATATAAATTTTATACACACACATTTTTCATCACGGTAATTTTCAACAGTATGAGTTTTTTTTACATTTTCAGCAACTTTTGAGAGCAAAACTTCATCCTAAAGCATTCACCTCATTTTAAACTTAGAGTATCATTTTAGAGGTAAACATGTTTAAGATGAATGTGACGGAGTCAAAATAGTGTTTGCCTCAAATTATATACTTTAAAATCTGCTACTAACTGCTTTATGACTATGGGCCATTTTTACATTTTTTTACAATAAGAATTTTTAATCATTTGTACTACAGTGCAAAGTTAAATTGTGAAAAACTTCCAGGCGTTTGTATTAAGATATGCATATCATACATGCATACTCGTACACTTAAAGTTAAGGCAGAAAACAAAATTGAATTTGTGCAATTAGAGAAAAAAATTATAAAAATATTATTAAAATGAAGAAAAGGATATATAATTAATTGTGAAGTATACTCGCAACTGCGCTAGCGCAAAAGCACACACACACACACACTATAATACATGCATACGTACATATACATAAACAGATGGCCATTATAAAATTGAAAAATATCAAACTACATTTGTGAAGTTTTATGTTAGTTTAGTTTTCTGCTTCGAGCCAATTGGCGAAGCACTAGAACTGGTTCAGCAGCTTATTTTATTATTTGTTTACACTTTTCCTCATTTTTATCATACAAAAAAAAAAAAAAAATGGTGGCTAGAAATCATTAAGATAAATAGAATACTAAAAGTAAGTTGAACCACACAAAGATCCAGTGAATAATTTGCCAGTTACATGCCGATTGAACCCGTAAATACAATTGAAGAATGCCAATACAATTTCAACTTACTAGCTAGCTTAGCTATACAATAATAATGCGCCTGTAGAACAACTTTTATCTCACCGGTNTAGCTAGCTTAGCTATACAATAATAATGCGCCTGTAGAACAACTTTTATCTCACCGGTATTACATATTGAATAA